GGTGGTCTTCATCCATGATTGTGCTTGTATGAGGTTGGACTTGAGGTTTTTGATGATATTATCTCTTTCGGATAGTTGTTGATCTACCACCTCCACTGCTGTCGAACCAGGTTCATATGGTAATATTGATGGTGGGTCACACCCATATAGGGCTTTAAAGGGAGTCATGCTTGCTGCACTATGGAATGTGGAGTTGTACCGAAACTCTGCCCATGGCAGCCACTGGGCCCATGTCTTTGGGTTTTCTCCGGCAAAGCATTGTAGATAGGTCTCGACGCAATGATTAAGTACCTTCGTCTATCTGTCGCTTTGTGAATGGTAACTAGTGGATTTGCGGAGTGAGGTACCTTTAGCTGAAATTATTCCTTCCAAAAATTGCTGAGAAAGGTCGGATCCCAATCCATAATGATAGTCGTGGGCATGCCATGCAATCTGGTGATCTCCTTGACAAATGCTGCTGCTACTGTGGTGGCTGTATATGGGTGTGCTAGAGGCACAAAATGCCCATACTTGGATAGTCTATCAATGACCACTAGGATGACCATATACCCCTTAGACTTGGGTAAGCCAGAAATGAAGTCCATTGTGACTTCTTCCTATACCATGTTGGGGATCTTAAGTGGTTGTAGTAGGCCCCCCAGGTTTTGAGCCTCATATTTCTGTTGTTGACATGTGGGACAAGCGGCCACAGTTTCGGATCGCTCGTTTCGTACCCACCCAAAAATAGTGAGTTGCAATTCTACGATAAGTACGTAGTATGCCTGAATGTAGTAGGCCCCCCTTGTGGCAAGTCATGAAAGAGCTGTAAGAGCTGCTGTAGATGCTTTGACTGGGCTGAAATCACCAACCTTCCTTTATAGAAGAGATCAGAGCCCACCACCTTGTAGCCTCGGACCTAATTTGGGTCCTGGGCCCATTTATTGTGTATGGCCTGTAACTTAGGATCTGAGAGAGCTTCTTGTTTGAGAAGGCCCACCAATGGATATACTGGTTTAGATACTGTCAGTTGGGCTGAACTCATGGATTTGTGATAACCCATCTGCAACTTTGTTGGTTGGGCCTGCCTTGTATTCAATGGTATAGTCATAGCCCATGAGTTTGTGGGCCCATCGCTGTTGCTCTTCTGTGTGTATCTGCTGTTCTAGGAGGTACTTGAGGCTTTTGTAATCAGTGCGGATGATGAAACGTTGCCCAATCAGGTATGTCTTCCATTTCTGTACTGCTATCACAAGGGTCATGAGCTCCTTTTCATATGTGGATTTTGCCAGGACTGGTCCTTGCTGAAATACGCAACGGGACGACCTTCTTGCATGAGAACTGCCCCTAAGCCTCCTCCCGAGGCATCACATTCCACTACAAATGTTTTGGAAAAATCCGGGAGGGCTAAGATAGGGGGTGTTGTAACTGCTGCCTTCAACCTTTCAAAGACTTGTTGAGCCTCCATGGACCAATGAAATGAGTTTTTCTTTAATAGTTGGGTTAGTGGAGCGGCAAGAAGCCCATAATCTTTTATGAATCACCGGTAATGACCTGTGAGGCCTAGAAAACCTCTCAGCCCCTTGATTGAAGTGGGTTGAGGCCACTGTTGGATGCATTCAACCTTGGTTGGATCCGCTCTGACAGTCCCACGGCTGATTATATGGCCCAGATATTGAATTTGGGTTTTACCAAATTCACACAGACATTTTCGCATAGAGCTGATAATGTCTTAAGGTAGCTAGAGTGGTTGTCAGGTGTTTCATATGTGATTTCCAATCTGAACTATATATCAAGATATCATTAAAAAAAACTAATATAAAGTGGCGGAGGTACAGGCGAAATACCTCGTTCATGAGAGCTTGGAATGTTGAGGGGGCGTTGGTGCGGCATTGCTAGAAATTCATAATGGCCATCGTGTGTACTGAAAGCCGTTTTGTGAATGTCATGTGCATGCATTCTCACTTGATGATACCCCGCACGAAGATCCAACTTAGAGAAGATAGCTGCGGATTGTAGTTCATCTAGCAGCTCTTCAATGACTAGTATGGGAAAACGATCCCTTACCGTTATTTTGTTGAGGGCCCGATAATCAATACAGAATCTCCATGCTCTGTCCTTTTTTTACGAGAAGAACTGTGGCTGAAAATGGGCTGGAACTCGGCCTGATAAATTTCCTTTGAATCATCTCCTGAACTTGCTTCTCAATTTCAGTTTTCTGAAATGGGGAGTAGCGATAGGGCCTTATGTTTGTTGGGGCTGCCCCGGGTGCCAGCGGAATGTGATGATCATGTGGGCGTGGAGGTGGTAAGGCCTATGGCTCCTGGAAAACATCATCAAATTCTGCTAGTATTTTCTGGAGTTGTGCCTGCTTCTCCTCGGGCAAGTTTTCGGTTTGGGGTGATTGCAACACTGGCCCAGTGGGCTCTAAACCCATGTGCAGAAGGATGTGATTCTGGCCTTGACTACACCCTTTTGTGATTGTTCTTAGGCTCTGCTGTTGGAGGGGTGTGGGTTGAACCCCCTGTAAATGATAAATTTTATCCTCTAGGGCGAAGTCCATTGTCATGTGTTGCCAGTCACATATGACTGGGCCCAGTTGTTTCAAACCAGTGGGCTCTAAGCCCATTAGCAGAAGGATGTGATTCTGGCCTTGACTACACCCCTTTGTGATTGTTCTCAGGTTCTGCTGTTGGAGGGGTGTGGGTTGAACCTCCTGTAAAATTTTATCCTATAGGGCAAAGTCCATTGTCATGCGTTGCCAGTCACATATGACTGGGCCCAGTTGTTTCAGCCACTGTACTCCCAACACGATGTCTGCCCCGCTGAATTCTAATGGGTGCAAATCAACTCTTACTATATAGTCTTGAATTTGGATGGCCACTTCCTTGCAAATTCTTTCACACTTGATGCGGTTCCCATCTGCCACATATACGTCGAAAGGGGAGACGTAATGGGCTTGCAGGCACAACTGTTTGGTGAGGCTTATGGTGATGAAGTTCTGGGTACTGCCACTGTCTACTAACACTGAGACAGGTCGGCCCATTAATACCCCTTCGACTCTCATGGTTTGGGGTGTGGAATGCCCATGTAAGGCCTGTAGTGATATTTCGGGATTTGTTGGGCTCATGGGGTTTTACCATTCCTCCCCTTCAGATCCTGGGTTATCGGTTTTGTCTTGCTCCTCCTCTCCTTCATTGACTTGCAGCAAGTAACTCTGTTGGGTTTTACAGCGGTGGCCGGGTCCAAACTTTTCATCACAATTGTAGCATAGACCTCGGTCCCTGCGGGCTTGCATCTCTGCCCATGTCAACCTCTTATATGGGGTTAGGGCCTGGGTGGTGTTCTTACCTTGTCCGAACTCGATCCAGGGCAGATTCTTGAGTAGTGGGCCTGAAGTTAGATCTGTCTTGAACTGCACGGGTTCAATTCGTGGGAATCTTCCCATTCTTTTCAGTCAGTTCAATTTCTCCTCTTGCAGTCGAGCCAGGCCAACTGCGGCTAGCATGTGCTGGTTGCATGGCTTTAACTTCAACTCGTATTTCTTTCTTAAGCCCTCCAATAAAACAGCCCAAGAGAGCCATCTCTGGCCATCTGTGTACCCTTGTAGCTAGTTTCTCAAATTCTAGCTGATACTCTCGCATCGAGCCTGTCTGCCTCAACTTGACAGGGATTAATCATAGTTTTCGAACCCTGTCGGCCCGAAGCGTATACAGAGGGCTTCTGTGAAATCTGCTCAAGATACTTGGGGATGAGATCTACGGATCCATTGAAACCATAAAATGGCTTCTCCTTCCAAGTGGAAGGATGCGATCAAGACTCTCTGATGACTTGGTGTCTCATGGAATTCGAAGTACCTTTCGGCCTTGAAGATCCATGGTATAGGGTTGTTGCCGCTGAAGATGGGAAAATCCAGTTGGGAGATGACCTGTCTTCCTCTCCCTATTCCGGACATGCCACCTCTACCACTGTCTCCGCCAGTTCCTTCTTCCTCTTCCCTGTTGCTCGCAGAGGCTCCCTTTTCCAGTTGGAGAACCACCGCTGCCAGGGGTCGCCTTCAGCTTCTGGAGGTCGCTGGACATCTTTTGCATTCCAACCTCTATTCGATCCATACGATCTCAAACAGTTACTGATCTGGTGCTTGGCATCTTGGCTTGCCAGCTCTGATACCAGTTGTTAGGCACCACTTGAGAGAGAGATGTGTCGAATGAATTCTTCTTCCCCTTTCTTATTGCCTCTTGACCTTTTATATAGTACAGAGTATTACGTCAAGATCAAGACTGGGTAGTTACATCTCTGTTGCAACCGAATTTGCTGATGTGGCTCTTTTCCTCTTCGTTCTATAATACACGTGTTGTATTATTGGCTTTGCCGCTGGTTCTGGGATCCTAACAATCAATCACAGTTATGCCTGCTTCTTCCTTCAGTCTCATTCCCTGCCTACTTTTTCTCTCCCATGTTCTTCTAAATTTCATGTTTACTTGCTGGCCCTCAGTCATCTCCAATTCTTTAGCTTTCAGCTCCTCAAATTTAATTAACTGCCAAATTCTTTCTCCCTCCTATCCTTTGTCACATCTTCCTTCTCACTCATTTTCTGCTTCTTTGATTGCACTTTGCATACACACATAGTGACATTTGATGAGAACTGGATGCTGGGATGGGATATCTGCACCAGGCATGTTGGGGAGGGGGTTAGCAGCAAAAACCGAAAAGACACAATTACCTGTATCTGAAATGGAGAGTTGTTTTCCTGTTTCTCATATCTATATCCATGTCCATATCTGTATCTGTGCACCATGGTTTTACGCATTCTTTTGAAGTTGCTTCCTGAAAATTTTCTGAAGAAATTGTATTTTTGTTTTGGAAATGTGATATATTATCTACCTTTTTCTCTATCTGTGGAAATGTGTGGGTAGAGAAACAAGAAATCTGATTGGAGTGAAGTTCTTGACGTGCATGCTTACAGCAGTAATGAGTGTCATTCTATATCTTTTGGGCATTCTTAATTTAAGTTTGTCATACAGGTGATGGTAATGACTCCACAGATTCTATTGGATGCTTTGAGAAAGGCATTCTTGAGGATTGAAATGGTATGCTTAGTGATATTTGATGAGTGTCATCGTGCTACTGGAAACCATCCATATATGAAGATAATGAAGGTAAAAACTTGATAAGAGGTTCAGTGTTTTTTCATTCAACATATTTCTTTATTTCCCTCCCCCCATAAAAGTGTAATAATTGAATATTATAACCACTGACAATTCATTTTGGTAAAGGAATTTTATCACAAGTCTCGAAACAAGCCAAAGATTTTTGGAATGACTGCATCGCCTGTAGTTAGAAAAGGCAAGACTATTTAAAACTGAGTATATTTTGTTTCTTCTTCTGTTACTACTAATTGTCAAGGTGTAGAAGCTCCTGTTGGGATTGTGATGTTGTTATGTTGCAAATTCTTTATGTGCAATTATGTATATATTTTCTCAGTTTTTCTGTTTATGTCAGATATATTACTCTTTACCATATCAACAAAGTAAAGCAATGTGCAAGATTTATATTTTTGTGGCAATTTTTATTAAGAAAATCTTTTGGATCTTTGTCAATATCATTTCAGAACTTTGCAAAACAGTTAGGATTCTACAATCTAGAAGTGATAGGGGGGACTCCCAGGTGGTCATCTCTTGGACAAGAGAAAATTCCCAAATCCCTTGGGTCTTCCGGCAAAAATATAGGGAGATTAAGTACTTAATAAGGGGGCTAAATGTTTTTTTCAAATGGGTGAGAAGAACAGCAAATAGAATCGCAGACACTAGCCAAACAAAGGGCCTTAAGACAACATTTATTTTGGGCAATTCTATGAAACCTTGTACTTTTAAGGTGGATTTTATACACATATGTTTGTAATCTTTAAGATGCATTAATAAAATTTCTTCTACTGATAAAAAAGATTGTTAACTGGGATCAGATCCTATGATTTGTGTCACTTGTTATCACAGTTGTGTGGTTGCAAGTTAGAAGGAAGGAGAAAGAGAGAGGTAAGAGTTTGAAGGGGAAAGATGAGGGTCTATTTGACCCAATTAATTACATTTATATTTAATGAACAAGGTCTGTGATTGCATAAATACTCAGCTGCAATCCCTTTACAAGATAAGGAATTTTAATTAAAATTACAAAATCAAACTTTTGTGCATGGATTAAGTATTTAGGACTCTAGCATGGATTTTTTTGGCCAACATTTAGTTTAAAATGTATGTCTTTTTTTAAATAATACTATTATATTTTTTATATTTTTTGCATTTATTATTATTATATATATATTTTTAAAATTTGTCTCTTGCTTCAAAAAGGCATGCACCACACCTTGCACCTTGTAGAGATAATGGGCCAAATGGGCCTTAGTTTCTTTATTGGGTAAAATACAAAAACCTCCCCTCGAGTTTCACTTTAACAAAAACCTCTCCTAAACTTTTGAAAAACTCAACATAAACCTCCCCTCTGTCACTATCCCAGACGGAAAATGGTTGATTGATGCATTAGTTTTCTTAAATGCCCATTTTACTCTTTTGCCAGTGGCAAAATCACGGACTTCGATGCTTCTTTTGTTGTAAAATAGGTAAAATCATGGCATTCGGTGCTTCTTTTATAAATGGTCTCTAATCGCTGGATGAGTGCTAGGTCAAACTGACAATCAAGTGAAGAACCATTAGAACACGCAATTGAGCAAGACGTTTGGGATAAGAAAGTAAAAGGGCAAACTTGGTGTCTCTTCATCACTAACAAGCTCGAAAAGATGCAATCAAATAGAGGAAGTTCTTAAGCTCCCAACGAATTCAAATTCTGATCTTCAACTACTGGTGACAACAACTGTGCTAAGCCCGTCCAACCCAAAGTGAACTAAGCTTTCAAAACACTGTTGAAGCGTTGAACAAACAAGATCCAACTGTTAGTGAATGTTTTGAGAGTTCTTTTTGGCCTTTCACATATGATTTAAATTCAAATGCCCCTAGCTTGACAAAGCTTCTTGATGGATATCCCCTTGATGCGGCCTGGCATGCCTTAATCTCTCTCTCTCTCTCTCTCTGAGAAAGAAAAAAAAGGTAAATATTGCTTTGCTGTCGGTTTTAGCAGCCTCTAAAAGTACTGCATGGGTGTTACATTAACTTTCCATCTCTGAATAAGAGATGCTTCCAAGCACTTATTTTACTAGATAAACAATGTCTTGAATTCAAGCGAATGCAAATGAAATTGGAGTGGTTATTACGTATAATTAGACTGTCAAACAACCAAGGAGAAGGGTGCACAATGCACTCCTCTTTCTGCGCAAGAGAGCTCTAGCAGTTGGAAACCTAGAATTCCCTCTCTCTGTTGTCCACAGATGATCAGAATGTATGATTTTGATCAAAATGGCACAATGAGCATTAAAGAATTTGTTCCTTTTAACAAGTTTCTTCTTAAGGTTCAGCAAGCTTTTTCAGACCTAGAAAGAGGTCGTGGATTTCTTGTTCCTGATGATGTTTATGAGGCTTTGATAAAGGTTGGGTTTTCCCTTGACTCTCTTGATTTATATACAGTCTGTGAGAGCTTATATCAGAAGAAGAATGGAAGATTCTGGCTGGATGATTCTATAGCACTTTGTATATTTTTATAGTTTGTTTACTACATGGGCTGCCAACTGTAGAATATGAGAAATCAAAGTACTCCACCATGTTCTCCTCCTCATCTAAACATACCCTCAGAATTCTTTTGGTGTTTGAGGAAATTGTGGCAGATCTAAAGCATTTTGTTGTGTATGCATGAGTGTGAAGTTCTTTCTTCATGACTATTCTAGTGCCTGGATTGAAAGTGAACACGAGATCTGAGATCTGTTGTCCATATTTCTTTGTATAAGCATTATAAGTGTGTATTAATTGTTGGATTTCCAATGAACTAGTGAACATGGTTGAGGTAAAAAAAATTGGAGTGCTCTCTACCAAATTGATTTATCAACGGTAAGAACTACTTGCTTTTACCGTCACGGGTTTGCATACCGTCTCCATGGCATATGTCTGAACCTGGTGAAGTCTCAGGTAGAAAAAAGGGCGGCATGAGTTCAAACTCAATGGAGCTGCAGGGAGAAAAGAGGGATGCATGAGTTTGAACTCGATGGAGTTTTAGGGAGAAAAAAGGGGCGGCATGAGTTTGAACTTGATGGAGTTTCAGGGAGAAAAAGGGCGGCAAATGGGTTACTCAATTTAAAGTTTATTTCATTTTATGTGACATCGTATACAAAAAAGGGTAAAATGGGCATTTAAGAAAACTAATGCATCAATCAAACGTTTTCCATTTGGGATAGTGACGGAGGGGAGGTTTATGTTGAACTTTTCAAAAGTTCAAGGGAGGTTTTTGTTAAAGTGAAACTTGAGGGAAGGTTTTTGTATTTCACCCTTTATTTTTCTTTAAGTTATGTTTATGACTTGTGTTAGTAGGTAGTGGGCCTTAGTTATGGGCCTGTTTTTTCTTTTTTTTTTTATTATTTTTTATTGCTGTTTTTAGTGATGGATGCCCTACTAAGGGCACTCATGTAATTGTCCTTATTTTTTATAGCAAAAGAATAAAAGAGATCATCGGGGGCTAGAGAGAGGTTAGAACTCTCTCTCTCTTCTTCCTTCCCTTTCTTCCATCTTCTTCGTCCTTTACTTTTCTCTCTCCCATCTTCTTCAATTATCTTCTTCTCTTCTGTTTTTCTTTTCTTTTCTTTATTTCAGATTATTGTAGATGGGATCTACAATTAATCCCATACACAGGTTTTATGGAGAGCTGATTGGTTAATTGATTAACAAGTATTCAACCCAGATAGAGGAGTTTTTTTTAGAAGATTGAAGTGCTGATTTGGGCCCCAAGGCAGGTTTTTGGAGAGTTTCCCGAAAACCCTAGCTAACTAGAGAGCCTTTTGATTATAGGGTATAGAGGAGTCTGGAAGTGACGCTTGGGGATATGATAAAAACATTCTAACTATCTTTGAGATCGATCCAAGTTGGAAAAGTTTCTAAAGCCTTTGGTAGGAGTGGCTAGATTTTCTCCCTTTCTCTCATTTTTCTAGGTCCGATGGAAACCCTAATTTGGCTGTTTAAAGAGCAATTTTTGACTTAAGACAACAAGTCTTGACTAGTAACACCCTATTTTGATTTTCGCTTATCTTGGTTTGGCCAATAGAGCGAACTAGAGGTGAGGTGAAACTCTCCACTGATTCTGGGTTTGTTTTAAGAGGGTTTGTGGAGACTTTGTTAGGGGTAGTAACCTCAGTAAAGTTGGATGGAGCCAAGTTGTTAGCTTGGTCTTAGTCTATAAAAGATTCATTTTTGCAGTAGAGGGAAATGGGGGTACATCACTGGGACCATGAAAAAACCTACGGAGGATGACCCTATCTATGAGAGGTGGATGCATGAGAACTATACTATAGTAGGTTGGTTAGTGAATTCCATGCAACCTCATATTAGTCATCATTACCTGTGGATAGAGATTGCAAAAGAGGTGTGGGACAGTGTTAAAAGAGGTCTATTCCCAGACGTTGAATGTTGCTAGGGCATATATGCCAATTCAGGTATTCCTGTTACTGTGAATCATGCTTCTATCTCAGGTAATCGTAGAATCCCTTGGATAATTGATTTTGGTGCCTTTGACCATATGACTAGTGTGTCCCATTTATTTTCTACTTGCCAACTTTTATTTGGGCAAGATAAGATCTCCCTTGCTGATGGCTCCTTTGCTCCTATCTCTGACAAGGGAAATGTGAGCAGAACTAAGAACAAGAGAGAGCAGATTTAGGGGTGTCAAGAATGGTCGACCCCCACCCCAAAGAGCCCCTTTTATATTAAAAGATATGTACAGTTACAAGAATTCCCTTATAGGGCTGAAAGATAAAAGAACAAATAAAATAATAAGAGTACTGTACAACAAGAACTATACTAATAATATACATCAAGATATATCTCCACACTCCCCCTCAAACTGATGTGTAGACACCAGCATCAGTTTGCCCATAAGAACGAGGTGTTGACTCTTAGTCATGGCCTTGGTGAAGATGTCGGCAATCTGCATGTTAGAGGCTACATGAGGAAGAGATATAGAGCCAGCAATGAAAAGGTCTCTATTAAAGTGATAGTTCACCAAGATCCATGAAGAGAGACTTCAACGAAATAATCTCACTATAGGCAGAAGACATGGCTCTATACTCAGCTTCAGTAGAAGACTTAGAGACGGCTTGTTGTTTCTTACACTTCTAGGAGATGAAAGAATCACCCGTGAAGACGCACCACCCAGTAGTGGATCGATGAGTGTCGGGACAACCAGCCCAATCTACGTCAACATCAACTCTCAAATGTATGGGTGATGAGGAAGAGAAAAACAGTCCTTGAGAAGTTGTGTCTTTAACATAACGAATGATGCGACAAACAACAGTCATATGAGGTTGACAAGGGGCAGAAACAAACTGACTAATGACCCGAACAACATGTGAAATATCAGGCCGAGTCATAGTGAGATAGATTAGAGATCCAACAAGTCGATGATACAAAGTAGCATCAGGAAGAACTAGGCCTTCAGATTTAGACAACTTGACATTCAGCTCCTAAGGGGTACCAACGTGTTTCTCATCAGTAATTCCAGCTAGTTTGACGAGATTAGAGGCACATTTTTGTTGACAAATAAGTAAGAGGGCCCAAGTCCTTCATGTGAAAGGAGTTATGAAGTAAGGACTTCAACTCATAAATGCCATCATAATCATCCCCGGTTAAAAGCATGTCATCAACATACAATAGTAGTATAATAATACTCTGGGGCCTTCTCCTACCAAAGAGAGAGTAATCAGAGGAACTCTGGCGATACCCAACTACAACAACATCTCGAAAGCGCTCAAACCAAGCCCTGGGTGCCTGCTTCAGACCATATAGGGATTTCTTTAGGCGACAGACACATGAAGAGTCACTGCAATATCTAGGTGGAGGCTTCATGTAGATTGTTTGCTTCAGTTGACCATGAAGAAAAGCATTCTTCACGTCTAATTGGTAGATAGTCCAGGAATGAACAATAGATAAGGCTAGAAGAACGCAAACCGTGGTGATCTTAGCAATTGGGGCAGATGTTTCTTCTTAATCAATCCTATATTCCTGACTGTATCCTTGGGCAACTAACTGAGCCTTATATCGATCAAGGGAACCATCTGATTTTAGTTTGATCGTGTAGACCCAACGACTTCCAACAATGGAAGCATCTGGAGGAGCAGGCACAAGATCCCAAGTATCATTCTCATGGAGGGTTTGAATTTTGACATCCATTGCTTATTTCCAACGAGGACTTCTAATGGCTTGCTGATAAGAACTAGGAATATTTGTGGAAGAAAGTACAACAGAAAAGGAGCTATGGCTTGAAGGAAAACCATGGCGGTTAGGAGGTCGAGAAATACGAGTAGAACAAAGAAGCGGAATAGGAGAACTACCATCTGAAACAGAAGGATCTTGGGGTGAAATGCCACTTATAGGAGGTGCAAGAGGAGGATGCTCTGGACCGGGTGGAAGGGGGGTTGTAGGCACAGATCTGGGACATGTGGCCACTTGCGAATGAAGACGAGGAAATCTTTCTCAGTAGAGGAAGTATGAGTGTTATCTGAATCAAAGTCCTACAAAACAGAAATAGGAGCAGACAATCTAGCAATTCCAACAAAGAAGGAAATATGTTCAAAAAACACAACATTTCGTGAAATCCAAATATGACGAATAGCAGGGTCATAACACAAGATTCCTATGTGGTCAGGACCATATCCCACAAAGGTACACATAGCAGATTGAGCAGTTAATTTAGAACGTTCACGAACAAGAAGATTTACGAAACAAAGACAACCAAAAACATGAAGACTAGAGAAGTCTAGGGGATGGCCAAAAAGTTTTGGAAGGGAGAAGTGTTGTCAAGAACAGAAGAAGGAAGATAGTTGTCAATTGATTAAATACACAACTGTACTGGCTGCTTCTGCCCAAAACGAAGTTGGAGTGTGGGATTTCTGTAGTAATGTCCGCACAACACTAAGGATATGTCCATTCTTCTGTCCAGCTACATCATTCTGTTGAGGAGTGTCTAGATAGCTGTGTTGAGATTGAATTCCATAACTCCTCAAGTAGGCCTGAAAGTCTCCGTCTCCATATTCTCCCCCTGAATCTGGACAAAGGATACTCACATTACACTTGAAGCGAGTTTGCACCATAGTATGGAATAATTTAAATGTTGCAAATACCTTTGATTTGTGCCATAGAAAATAAATCCAAGTGTCTCTGGTACAATCATCTATAAACAATACAAAGTATTTGTATCCCAATAGTGAAGTAATAGAAGCAAACCAAACATCACTATGTATTATCTTAAAAGGTTTAGTGGCATGCTCAGAAGTGTGAAAAAAAGGTAAAAAACATGACTTTTACTCAAGCAACAAGCCGTGCAAGAAACATCAAAAGTATGAACAAGAGGATTTTTATTCTTAATTAAGCCAAAATCAAACAAAAACTTCAATTTTTGAGAATATGGATGGCCCATTCGTTTATGCCATAAATCCCAAACATTATTTCTATGACTCAACAGAGAATTAGACATAGAGGAACTAAGATAAGCCAAGGATGCTCCTGATTGAGACATATCAAAATCCAGCGCAAACAGACGGCCCAACCTATGCCCCTTCCCTTTCACCTTCCCAGTGTACCGGTCCTGTATCAAGCAACCATCATGAGAAAAGGTAAGGACATTTCCTTCATCAACAAGTTGACCAATAGGAATCATATTAGTAGTAGAGGGTTTTTGAGAGAGGGAAGGACTTAGTGGATGACTGTTTAAGGGATAAGTCATTACTAGCAATAATGTCTAACTTTTCACCATTGGCAGTAACAATGTGTTTATGGTGAGTTTCAGTAGATGGATTTGGTTGATTGAGATAGGCTCCTGTCATATGATTGGTGGCACCTGAATCTATAATCCAAGCATGTGAAGGAGAAGAACAATATCCAGAGAACTTACCAAACAAAACAATAGCAGAAAAAGCAGGGGATACCAATTGCCGAATCTTTTCTTCATCCATAGATCCAGTGGAATCACTTTTCACTGAAGAATCACCCTTAGTGGACATAGTGTTAGTTGCCTGTCCATCTATTACCTGATAGGCCCGAGGTTGAGTCTTTCTCTGAGAACCCTTAGTTGGTCGGATTGGACAATCTGGAATTATGTGACCATGTTGCTTGCAATAGGTGCACACATTCTTCTTATAGTGAGAGACAATATGTCCAAAACCCTTACACTCATAACACTGGGTTTTGGAGAAGTCCTTGGAGGTTGACTTTGTACCTTCATGAACAACAAAAGCTGTTTCAGCCCCAATTTTAGTCATCTTTCCATCAATTCCAGCTGCAGTGAGAAGCCTAGTCTCTTCCCTTAGTAACTCCCCCAAAACAGAATCCAGATCTGGAAGTGTTCCCCTACTTAGAATATTGGACCTGATTATCTCATATTCAGGTCTAAGCCTCATCAAAAACTGAGTTACCTTCCTCTTCTCAAAATGTTTCTGGAGATATTTCACACATTCTACTGAGTCCGAGGGATCAATATGGACAAGTTCATATTCAGCCCACAAATCAAGAAAACCCAAATAGTATTATTGTATCCTTCTATCTCCTTGACTGTAGGCTAATATCTCTGATTCTATTTGATACTGTCTAGACATATTGGACTGTTGATAAACTTTCTCCAGATATGAATACATTTCATAGGTTGTTTTCATTCTCCTCATAGGTACAACAATATGAGAATCAATAGAACTAAGAATCCAGGAAACAATCTTGCCGTTATCTAGTTTTCATTGTTATAAGGCTTTGACCTCAGTCTTAATTGGTTTAGTGACAGTCCCATTCAGGTGTCCTTCCAAACCGTTCCCTTCAACATAAAAATCAAAGTGGAATTTCCACATCCCATAATTTTGTCCATTCAGCTTCACAGGAATAATATCCCCTCTGTCTGAAGCCATTACAGCATAAAACAACAAAAAAGGGGTTTGGCAATAGTCCAAATACTAGTCTGAACAGCAATCTACTTCTGCCCAAGAGGAGGAAAGGGCGAACCAGTACTACAACAATCTAGAGAAGTCCAGAGAAGGGTCTGAACAATAGTATAGATGTTTCTTATTGTTAATGGACCTTAGTTATTACTTAAAGTAGCATTATTAGTACAGCCGCCCTTTCACGGGTATCCTTGTAAATGTACCATTATTATGATCAAGTTAATAAAACACAATTAGAGAACATTCAATTCTCCTCTCTTTCTTCCAATTCTCTTACATATTCATATTCCTCTTGATCTGATCTCTTCTCTCTTATTTTTTTTTCTTTCTTATTTCCCAACTAAACTTCAATACTATCGTTGTTCTGATCTGCATCTAGAAATATTCTTAACCCTCTAACTCTCATAAATGATCTTGTATGTCCCAACAACACATGAGCCACCTTTTTTTTTTCTGATCAATTTGTAACAAAATCTAACTGATTGCAGGTTCTGCATATTAATTATACTCATTAGATGCCATTGATGCTATTTCTGGTCTACATAACCTAGAGATATCTGCTTCAGTGCCTGTTGGATCAGGAAACTTTTATGGATAAACCTTTTTCCTTTCTGATCAATTTCTAATAAAAATCTAACTGGTTTCAGGTTTACGTATTAATTATACTCATTTGATGTCATTGATTTTCTGTTCCTGGTCTACATAACCTATAGATATCGGCCTCTACGAATCATACATTAACAGGGCTCTATATATCAGGTGTTTCATCAGTCATGGATTGTGAGGATCAAATATCAGAACTTGAATGCGTCTTGGATTCCCAGGTCACTTATAGACCCTCAGTTGCAAATTTTGGAATTAATTTCTGGGTTACATATTGCATGTTGATGTGGAATTTCTCTGTTGGATTACAAGTTTCTGTTGTGTATGCAACTGCAGATCTATATAGTTGAGGACAAAACTGAAGTGGAAGTATTTGTTCCCTCTGCAAAAGAAATAAATAGATACTATAATTCCACACAATTTTCCCATGAAGATTTAAAAACTAAGTTGAAGTCTTCACGGTCTAAGGTTATTCTTGTAATCCTTAGTTCTCTTGTAATTTAATTATTTAGTGCTTATAAAAAGATAAAAATATAGGCTTTTGAGACTCACTTTGTTCATTTTGCTATAGGTTTTGGTGTAGATCCAGTGTTGATATTCAATGAGAAAAAAACTGATATAACTCTTTTATCTGAACAGTTTGATGCATTGTTGGTTAGTATTCAAGCATCATTGCCAACGCAGTTCAAAGATACTGATGATGCATTCAATGGTTTGAAGAAGCGATTGTCTAAGTATCATACAAAGATTGTTTGTTGCCTAGATGATCTCGGCCTAATATGTGCATATGAGGTATTGCATTTTCCTTGGGGGAAAGTAATAAGAGGCTTCTCTCTATTTTGGTTATTTGGGGAAGCTTGACCTGATCTTGTTGTGTCTCTAATGTATTTTGTCATTCTTTTCTCAGTAAAATCTGATTAATCGCTGATCCCAAAAAATATTTCAGTTCTATTTTTTTTTTGGGTTATAATGGAAATTTTACCAAGTGATGGTAGTCAAGAGTGTCAGAGTACCTTTGTTACTTTTTTTTTTCTCTCTTTTTCAATCCATGATCCTTTTGCTGGTAATATGTCTACTATGCTTGGAATAGCATGTATTTATTATTAACACAATGTTTCAAAATAATTAAGAAATACTTAGTTGAATTGTAAGGCAAATATGATTATTAATACAATTCATGCTGAATTGTTGATTTAATATTGTTGTTAATGGTTGCGTCTCGAAGTGGTCTATAAGCTTGGCATAATTATTTTGATCAATAACAGAAAAGGTATTGTACTGACTATGAGTATGAAATGACATTACCATAACTTTCTGTCATGTGTTGACAAAAGATACCCTCTGTACTTGGCCAGGAGAAGCCAAGGTAAACCTCACTCTCCAAAACTTTCTGTATGTGTTGACTGAGGTCAAGAATCTTCCAAATTTCAGCAGAGTTCAAGTTTGTAGCGTATACCTTCAAGAAGTTCAAATCCTATCACCTCAGTTGTCATGGTAGCACTGTTGATGTTCTAATAAGTGCATCTATTACCTTCTTATTAGTTATCGACTTGTATTTCAACACAAAGTTATATTCTTGTATAAAACCTACCGTTGACCAAGTTTCCCACTAAGTTGGTTGCTAGTGTTTATATGTTTCAAATCCTTGTGATCTAAGAACAAAAGCATTTTGGATCAAATAATACTTCTGTCTTTCATTAAGGTTTTTACTATATAAGAGATGTACCTTCCTTGATGAGAACTATTCTTATAATGATTAATGACACCAAATTCGTAACATTAGTAGTTTCTCAAAACTTGGCATAGCCAATAGTAAAGCCATGCATAGATTCTCTTAAGCAACTAAAAGCTTCTCATTGCTTCTTTACTCCATATAAGCTTGCTTTTCTTCAAACAATCAATCATGTGTTCTGCTATAAAGTGTCTATAGAATGATACTAAACTATGAAAATGTTGCAGTTCAACATTAGGTGTGGGTGTAGGCCAATGCAGATTGCTTCCACCTTGCTATTGTCAACCCATATTACAGCTGAACTTGCAAAATTTCCTCAAAATAGCAGTCGGTATTTTAGAAAATGACACATTTTCAGGTTTGCACACAGTTGCTCTTGGTGTAAAGTCCCTAGCACTTTTCTTAGATGCTTTATATGGGCCCATTTACAAAGTCTGTATACAAGAATATCATCAAAATAAACAACAAGAATCTCCCAATGAATGGTTTCAGGACTTGATTCATTGAATGCAAGAAGGTGCTAGGAACATTTGATAAACCGAATGGCATCGCTAACCACTCATTGAGACCATTCTGCATCTTGAAGCCTGTTTTCCACTCATCACTTTCTTGAATTCTGATTTGATGACAGCCACTTTTCAAGTCGATCCTGGAAAACACCTTAGCACCTTGTATCATCAAGCAAGCACACCATGTCATCTAATTGGGGTATTTGGAAATGATACTTGATAGTAAAATAGCAATCTTGTGAATGATGCGACTTTCTACACACATTCTCCATGATCAGTCCTTTGGCATCAACAATGTGGGCAGAGCACATGGACTCATTTGTTGTTGAATTAATCCCTTTTTGTGAATTTCCGTACTTTCTTCCTGCATTGCCTCTTCTGGCTTTAATTGTATACCATCCTGAATCCATCTACCTCACAACCACTGTGAGAAAAAAAAAGTCAACAGTGAACCATTACTAGCTCTATCTAACCTACTAAAAAGAACTGAGATACCCATAAAATGCACAGCTGGACTAAAAATTAAACCATATCTTTCTCCCATCCTCTAATTCTAATAAATTTGATTATTTTTTTTTTTTAATTTTAATCATATATCAACTTTTGCTCTCTGCCTGTGACTACACTTGGTTCTCCAATGACCCCTGCATAAAAGATCCTGCACTTCACTGTTAATCTCTGACTCCATGCAACCGGCCACAGAATTCTGTCTCCCCCTTTTATACTACTAGAATCACCTTTTTTTCCCCTCTAATGTCTCTTTGATATAAAAAGAGAATCATTCCAAGTGATTTTTCCACTTGTACCTCTCACTGCACGACCTGCTCTAATGACAAAGATTTATAAATTTGCAACTTGAACCTCCTCTGTATCCTCCACCTCTTTATCTTTTGCTGTCCCATCAAACCTTAAGAAATCCACATTGGGGAAAATTTCCACAGAATGATCATGGTGCATATACTTATATATAGTGTATATGTAGTGTTTGTGCATGTATAGTCTTGTACCGAATATAATAGCATACTGTAAATATATACATACAGATGGACAGACAGAAGCCAATATAATTACATTACAAACATATGCATACATATATGGTTAAATATGTATGTTTCATCACAAATTGTTCTTGATAGGCAGTGATGGCAGTGCTCATATTGACTGTTAACTTGTATGGCTAGAACTTTTCTACATATAAAATAATGTTTGGGTTGAGATTGAACTACTTGAAGCCTCAAACCAAGCCAAACTGAGCTAGGTCAGAGTCAAACATGATCTTTTCAGGTCCAGGCCAAACAAGCTCAACCTCTGAAAAACTTCAGTTGGGCCAGCCCCAGATTAAACTCTTCCCCCATCAGAAGTTTGCTTTGGGATTAAACCCTTGTGTTAATTGCAGTGCCTTAGTCCCATTCTCATCGTTTAGATGGTGGAGGATGATTTGGGTGCTACTGTTCATTGATTTTTTTTCCTTTTTCTTTTTTTTTTTTTTTTGGGGGGGGGTGGTTATACAGTCACTAGTTGGGAGATCTATAATATGAGCTATGCTAGTTTTTCTGTGTGGTCCTAGTGCCACAGAATAGTTGGATGGTCTTCTCTTTACTATACCATTTCCCTCTTTTTCTTGTTAATAAATTTCTCCTTGCTACGAAAAATGAGGGTGCAGCAAAAAATGGAATTAAAATTCACCTATGTTACTTTGGTCGTTGTTTTTTTGTTTCCATTTTAAGCTAGGTTATGCTGGTTATGCTCATCCTTTTGCCTTGGATTGTGTTTTAGTTGATTGATATTTTCCTTAAGAACTTAGTTTGGTTTTACCAACTGATTCCAAATAGATTAGTTATTCTTTTCCTTTCCTGGTCTTCCTTTTTAGTTCTGATTTTTATCATCCTATGTGTATTACTTGTTTTGTAGGCTGCTAAAGACTGTTTAGAAAATGTTCGTGTTTTAAACACTACAGAAGACTTTGAATTTTATAGAGCTAGTTCCATGCAGTGCATGAGTTTTCTTGAAGAAGTGTTACATATAATTGGAGAAACTTTGCCAGATGGTATGATGTAGAGTAGATAAATTTGTTTTTGCTGTTCTTGTTAAAGTTGACTGCAGGACCAATTTTCTGCATAACACATGTAGTGAAGTGATCCTTGTTGACAGGGCATGTAAATATGGAAGCTTGGGTGGTATAGAACATCCGAACATGCTGAATGTCCCTTTATCTATCTGCTTGAGGTGTAAACATGAACTGGGTTGGGTTGGTTTAAGACTAACCAAACCCAACCTAAAGTGTTTGGACACTGCTGTTATCCAGCCTGCATTTTAAAACCAGCATGAGGTGAGGCAATGGGCCCTCTAGATGCACAAGGCTTAAGCCTCATAACCTCATTTCTTTGAAGAGAATCAAATAATTTCTATTGTATCAGCAAAGGAACAAGAAAATAAGAAAGGATGAAGAGTAGAGAAGAAAGTCACTCAGAACAGAAAAAGAGTCATCACCTGATCTGATAAATCCACTTATCTTTTTATTACAAGGGTTATTTTCTGAAACTCCCCTTCACTTTTCCAATATTCTCTTAACCAACTATTCTACCCTATTAACTAATTTTTATTTGATAAAAATGCAACGGGTTTTTTTTCTCTTCCCTATTTATTGCCTATTTGATGTTCACTCATCTCACAACCCACCAATAATTCAATTCGTTCACCAATAGTTCAAATTGAGTGAATGGATGGGCCTATTTTTGGAATTTTGTTTCAAAGAATTGAGTTGAATGGAGGGCATCAATTTAATCTTGCAACACCACTAGTTTTTGAATGACAATGTCTGACAGGGAGTCTCTGGATGTACCGAAAACTCAGTTAAGTTTAAGAGAAAGTCAGAAGAGTGGAGAGGTGTTTCAGATAATAATCCTTATTATAATAACTGAGTACAAAATTACAAAATTACCTCTGTATAACCACCTATATTAGCTAGCCCATAAATCTATTACAACAAAAGTAAAATACCGTCAAAGATTCCTAATTTAATAGTGCTAACAATCCCCTTCAAGTTATAGAACATGTCTTATAATCCCAGCTTGTTATAAAAAGTAAAAGGACATAACTGCCCTTGTGCCTAAACATATATGGTATAATGCATTTCATGACACTCCCCTTAAGTTGGGCTGTATATGTCATACATACCCAACTTGTTACATAATTCTTCATGGTGCAAGGTGGTAACACTCTTTGTAAATACATTAGCAATTTGCTCTTTTGAGCTGACAAAAGGCATACAAATTTTCCCCCTTCCACTCTTTTCATGAATAAAATGCTTTTCAACCTCTATATGTGTAGTCCTCTCATGAAGAACTGAATTGTGACCAATGCTAATAGCCACCTTTTTGTCACAATATAAACACATAGAGTATGCATTCTGGAATCTAAACTTTGTAAGGAGGTTTTTCAACTATAGGAGTTCGGCTACCCCTTGAGACATGGCTTGATATTTAGCTTCACACTTGGTTTTGCTACCACTGATTTTTTCTTGTTTTTCCATGTGACCAAGTTTCCTCCTACAAAGGTATAGTAGTCTGTTGTGGACCTCTGATCATTAACATATCTTGCCCAATTAACATCTGTATAGCTTCTACCCTAGTGTGACCCTGTTTAGTAAAGAGAAATACCCTGCTAGGGTGCTTCTTCAAGTAGCACAGGACTCTTCATGCAGCTCTATAACGAGATGTTTTAGGTGAGTGCATTTATTAACTTAGGACACTCACAACAAAGGCAATATCTGACTGGGTCATGGATAAGTACAACAATCTTCCAATGAGTCTATGATATTGCTGAGCATTTGGTAATGCCTCTCCACCATAATCTCTAGGTTCATGGCTGAGATCCATAGGTGTATTAATGGGCTTACACTCCAGCTTCCCATTGTCTTTAAGTAAGTCTAGGACATATTTCCTCCAAGAGATAAAAACGCCATTTTCTGACCTTGCAACTTTAATACCAAGGAAATACTTCAAGGGGCCAAAATCCTTAACTTCAAATTTAGAAGCTAGAAATTCCTTCCACTTATGAATTTCTTCTTCCCAGTTCTTTGTGATGATTTTTTTTGATCAGTAAATAACTTCTTTTATTAATTAAAAGTTACCGTGAAGGTACAAAGCAACTCGTCTTTAGATGGCCCAGGTTACAACATATTACAGAGATGGCCAAAATAAAGTGGGTCTATCAGCTCCCTGCTTAGCTAGAGTATCCACCATGCTATTTGCTTCCTTTTTGACCCAATCAAAAGCTGGGAGATGACTCAATAGGAGGAGACACACAAGGAGGTGACTCTCAACAAGAGACTCACCACTGGCTAAACAAAAACAGGGTAAGGAACATCAAATAACTTAAATGAACTCTCCCCCTTGTGGGTTTGAGGGACTTTAGAAGGAGGTGGTCAGGAATTTGGTGAGGGAGTCTAGTTTGGATCTCTTTCTCATTCAAGAATTGAAAACAGGAAAAACTCAGCTGCCCCTTGTAGGCCTTCCAAAAATCAGTTCTACTTGAATGGATCTCTATAGGTATTAAAAAGGATCCCTTCAAACCCTGAGCGCCAGGTTGGAATCCTCTCTAGGACCCTTAACTCAAAAATCTCTAATTGCTAGGGTTTCGGGCAAGAACTCCAAGATCTGTCTTGGGCACCAATCTGATCGTCTCTTTTCTCCTGAAGTCCTATACCAACTAAGCTGATTATCTTCTTTAATCAATTATTCATTCAGTTCTCCATACACAGTGTATGGGATTAAGAAGAAAAGAATAAAGATAATTGTATGCTTTGATGCCAAGAAGAAAAATAACCAGCACTTATTTCTTCCTTAAATCAGAAAATACAGCAAGCAAGATAGAAGTGTGAGAGCAGGAGAGGAAAAGAAGAGAAGAGAAATGAAGGAGAAGGGGAAGAGAAAAAAAAAACTCTCTCTCCAGCCCCAAACTTTTATTAATTCTAATTCGTTCAAAAGAAATTTAGAGATAATTACATAGATACCCTTGTATAGGGTGGCTGCTTATAAACTTAAAGAAAAAAAAGGTTAACAGGCCCATTAACACAAAAGTAATAAATATAAAACTGAACTAGACTAAGGCCCGTCTGGCCCAATATCTCTACAAAGTTGATAAACTCATGCAAAATACCCTTGTTTAGCATCTGTTTCCTTATTTTGGTCCCAAATTAATCTGGCCGTTTCAGCCCACATGAAGTTCTTCCTTGGTGCAGGTTATATAGTGGAGACCAGTCAAGACATAATCATATGATTTTCTTGTTCCCACTTCTCATGAGTAGCCCCTTCACCAATAGGTTCCTTAGTTTTTCCAATGAGATAAACTTTCTCCTTCCTCCAATGAACATATTCACACCCTTGGACCACTCCAATTAATTCATTCAGACTATCAAGTGGAACAAAAGACATGGGGAAGTTTGTACAGTCCATACCCCCACCAAAGAAGGATTGACTCCCAGTCTCCTAGAAGATACAGAAGTAATCGAGCCTTCTGAAGTCATTACAACAAACACTAATCAGCCCAGCACCACTGAACTGCTCAACTACTCAAACAGTAAACACGATATGTTACATCCTTCTCTTTAAGCAATTAAGCCACCAACAGTTCCACAACTACAACAAAACTGATCAGCACCACCGCTGCACCTTGTAGATCAACATTGAATCACATAAGGGATCAAAAACAGGTTGCAAGCACTTGCAACATGGTCCTGTACCTATGATCAATCAGACCTGGGTCTACACCTTCCTCTTCTTCCAACGATCATTAACAAAACAAGTGTCAAGGAACTTTTCTACACATTAATAGAGAGTGACTGCCACACCTATTAGCAATCCCTTAGACCATAATAGGCCTCTACGGATCAATGCAGCTACTATTCTGATCACACCAAGCAGAAACTTTTCTGTTCTGCACAGCTACAACCTCTACATGCTTTGATCACTAGAGGAGCAGCAACCCAGAAACAATAAACCTTGTGTTTGGGTATGGTTGAGCTGGCCATGGATGCCATGTGGCAGCCTCTGCGGCCATCTTATCTCTCTAGCCACGTCGGCACCATGTGGGATAGATAAGCGTGACCAAGAAGGAGAGTCCCACACGGACAAGGAAGTTAACCCCGCTGGGGAAGAGGAGCCATCCTGAAGATCTCGGCGGGCAACCTCATTCCAACAACCCCGGAAGCCCCATCTGAATAGGACACGGACCTCTGGTTATAAATAGGTAATCTCCTCTCAGGGTAAGGGACTTTTGGACCTTTATACTTCTACTTTGCTTCTTCAGCTCGAGCCAGCGCTACACTTCCCTACTCGGCCCTGCCTCATACCCTTCTGTTCAACTGACTTGAGCGTCTGAGCGACTACCTGAGGACCAACTCCTCGGGCCTCTGACCTTCCTTCTTGATTACAGATTCCAGTGCGCGACTTCATCCTTCCACCTCGATTTCACCCAGTTGGCAGGATTATTTGACTGCGATCTTGGTTCGGGACACCTGGGATCGGACAACATCACCTTGATCTTACAATCAAGAAAGAATGAAGAAAGAAAAGAAAATAGGGCCGATCAGATCTTTGATTTCTTCAACCTGCGGAAGTGTTCTATGAAGAAATATTTCAGAGAAAAGAAGAAATTTAGTTATTTCTGTAAGTGATACAGTGGACCAGACCTGATATTTTTTATGTGTGGTCCCATAAGTTCAGTCTTTTATTTCTTATTTTTGGCTTTATGCTTGCTTTCTTGTACTGTTTTAGGTAGCAGGGCATTTTTGTCCTTTTACCTAATGTTATGTTAAACATATAAATAATACTAAAAAAAAGAAATAAAAGACTGAACTTATGGGACCACACATAAAAAATATCAGGTCTAGTCCACTGTATCACTACAATTTCTATAACAGATGATGCTCTGATACCATGTCATCTGCCAAAAAAGACCTAGAAAAGAGATAAGAGAATGAGAGGAAGAGAGAAGGAAACAGAAAACTTGAGAATGAATTGTAATCTTGGGTATGTGGTGGTGCCCCACAACCCTATTCTAGTAGAATGTTTTAAAATAAAGTAAAAGGACAGAACTGCCCCGGAACCTAAAGATATATGATACAATACATCTTACGATTTATATTGTTCTCTTTGTCATCTTTGTGATTTGTTATCTTTGTAAAAATCATTTATAAACTTTTACCCAGCTAAATTTGTAATTTTTACATACTGCCTCAATTGTTTACCTTACACCGAAAGAATAACACTTGTCAAGAAAAAAAAAGTTAAACATGTTTCTAGATGGCTATTTTTTTGGCTCTGTATTTTTGTTTATTGATGCTGATTCTTTGTATCTTCTTCAGAGAATTTAACATTTTCTGAAATGGGATCTCATTTTTCTGAGGCAATTAAGTTGGGTTATATCTCTCCAAAGTTACATGAATTAATTCAGATTTTTCAATCTTTTGGGTAAGTGAACTTCTTTACTAGCTAATCCAGCTACCTATTTCAATTCCGTTGTAGTAAATATCCTTACACTAACCTGTGGCTGCAGAGGGGCTACAGGAGTGCTATGCCTCATTTTTGTGGAAAGAATTATTACAGCTAAAGTAATTGAAAAATTTATGAAGAGACTTGGTTTTTTATCTCATTTCACATTTTCATACTTGACTGGAGGTAATGCATCAGCTGATGCTCTGACACCACAAATGCAAAAGAAGACTTTGGATTTGTTCCGCCATGGGAAGGTACCTGACATATTATTCCATGTAATTGAAAGTTATGAGCAGGCTTGTTGTATTTACTGCCATTAAAGTTATAAAATTGCTGTGTAGGTAAACCTATTGTTTAGCACTGATGTGGCTGAAGAGGGGATCCATGTTCCAAATTGTTCTTGTGTGATACGTTTTGATTTGCCAAAAACTGTTCGTAGTTATGTCCAGTCACGTGGGAGAGCTCGCCAAACCGATTCTCAATACATCCTCATGCTTGAAAGGTATATTTGTTTTATTTCTTTCCAGTCTTTTAACTCTCTTAATCATATTTCCTTCTATTGTATCCTTTGTGTTTCAATATTTTTTAAATTTCATATGCCAGTCTAGATTTCTGCTCCAAGAACCTGGTGGTGAGGAGTTTGACAAGGAGAGTGTATTGCGATGAATATTAGGCGTAACCAAATTACATTCAGCCTTTGGCCCGACCATGACTGGATGCTGTTCAGGAAGGCATTTCATTTAGGGACGTAGTGATCCAAAGGCAGTGGTTGGAACTCAGAAGATGGGAACTGTATTTTTCAAAACAGGGGAGGGGATGTATTGGATTGAAATCACTGCAAAGGAGGTTGAAGAGAGGAAGAAGTTCTTGGGAGAATGTCTGGTGGGAAAGTTTACAGATGAAATACCATTGACAGATAAAGTGGAAAGATAGGCAGCAGAGGACTGGGCTCTGTTGGGAGGTGTAAACGTTAAAAAACTGATACAAAGCCTATTTCTCTTTATCTTTGCCTCGGAAAACGAAGATGTGTGGTTGAAAGGGATAACAACTTGTTGGGCAGAAGGTCCATGTTATTGGACTGGTGGAGGGGTAGTAGCAGGGCGTTGTACAAATGAACCCATGGCAAAAATGAATATATAAAAATATATATATTCATAAATATATAGAAATTGTAAATTGTTTTCTTTTAGGTATGGGACATGGTAGCACTTGAATAGGTTGGAGGAAGATACTTGCGGTCAAGAAGGAGAGTTTTCTGATAGAGGAATGTAAAGGGGGAAAGTTTTGATGTTTGAAGAGGGAGGGATATGGTTTTCCTGTCCCAAGTCGATGCAGGGTGGATTAAAGGTTTTGTCGAGGGAGCAATCCATAAGGTGACCAAACCAGGCTGGAGGAATGAGCTGAGAAGGGATAGGAAGCTCTTCTTAATTGAGAAAAAAGTCAATAACAATGGATGCTTTTTGATGTTAGACACAGAGATGGAAGATGGTAAGAGACAGACTATTTGTTTGTTGGAAGGAAGGAAGGAAGGAATAAGCAGGTTGGGTTGTAGTTGCTAAGGTGCTGCAGGAGTACGAAGAAAGGTGTTGGATGAAAAAAGAAGAATCAAAGGGATTGGGGGTAAAGAAGAAGCTTTAAGACACAGAGTCAAAAGGGGTTGGACAATGTGACGGTTGAGGGAGCTGGTGGCAATCCTAATCTGGTCCTGGACGTGCTGCCCTCCCCAGGGATAATTTGGGGGTTGGCCTGGCACGGCCCACGGCCCACGGCCCAAGCCCATGCCGTGCCACAGGTCTGGGCTGGGCGGGCTGCAGGCTGTGCTGCGCTGGGCCACAATGGGAATTTTATTTCATTTAAATTTGAATAATACAAAACATACAATGGTTGGATGAATGAAATATGAAATATGAAAATTGGAAAATGGAATAAATTAATAAAATATAAAAAATACAATATAGTTACAAATTGAAAATAAAAAATTACATTATTAAAAATATCAAATAAATCAAATAAAGTTAAAACAAAATTTATAATAATTTGAAAAAATGCTATACAACTATTGAGTATACAAAAAATATTGACTTCATCATTTTCTCCTATTGTTCTTGACTTTGATCATTGGAGGAATTGAAAATGGTGGAGGATAGGGCTATTTATAGGAATTGAAAATAATTCAATTGCTCCAAATACCCTAAAACTAATTGTTTTTTAGTTGTTGGGAAGGGTATTTTGGTCATTGTAAAGTTATTTTATCACTTTACCCAGAGGGGCCGGTCTACCCCCTAAACCATTTGCCGACCTGAAACACCCCTTGCAGGGGTGTATCCTGAAGGCTCCGATATGAATAGTGTTTTAAAAGCAAAAGGCGCAAGGGCCATTTTGCGCTTGAGGCGCAAGGCGAGGCGCACAAGCTAAAAATAAAAAAAATGTCAAAAAGTTCAAAAAAATACAAAAAAATCAAAAAAATATAAAACATAATATTAATAAAAATACAAACTTAAGTTTTAAAATAAATGTTTTAAAAAACCTATTATCTAAAATTAAAATACATAAACATAATATGTAAAGCATATTCAAATGAGAATTTAAAAATAAAATCAAACATATAAAACATTTTCAAGCATATAAAACTCACAATCTCTTTTTTTTTTCTCAATTACATGACTTCAATTAGCTAATGTGACATTACATTCTTAATTCTACGAGCCGCCTTTGTGCCACGCCCCTCAAGGCAAGCCCAAACAAGTCCATGTTAGGGTCTTAAGGCGCAAGGCACACCAGGCATGTGCCTTTGAATGGGCTGTGCCTAGGACTTGGGCGAGGTGCCTACCCTAAAATGCGCCTCGCCTGTGCGCCTAGGCGCGCCTTTTAAATCACTGGATACAGGTCGGTATGTGATGATATTTTGAACCTTGGCGGCACGGCACGACAGTCGTGCTGTACAGTGCCGGCCCATGGACCAGGAACCCCAGGCCCAACATAGCTTGGACCATTGTGCTGGGCCTGACACGGCCCGCGTGCCATGTCGGGCTGGGGGCCGGTCCAAATTTGGGCTGGACCACGGGCGGCGTGGCCCTATTTACACCTCCTTAATGATGTTATGATTAGGATTTCGAATGCAGATTCAACTGTGATGATTTCTTTCGATGATAGCAAAACAGTTCTGGACCTAGGAAATTGAAGGCAGAGTTCATGAACATTGAAGCGTCGGAAGGTTCAGTGACGGAGGCAAAGTGGACATCTTCTTGCAATGAAATTTCAATACCTGAAGGGAGAGTGATTCTGAAAACTTGTGGTTGGAGGATGTTTGCACTATTGACCTTCATGCAACGAAGATTATAGTTGCAAGCGCCAAGCCGGAGAGGGTTCCTTGCACGATCAATTTCTTTGCTGAAGGGAGATGGTGAAGCTTGGGCGGCATTGGAAGCTGAAGCGTCTCTGTGGTATGGGAGATGAGACGTTGAAGCTGCAGGTAGGGTTTGGTGGAACCCACATGGCACAAGCAGATTGGAAGGCGTGGGGGAGAAGGGAGAGAGCGAAGAGATGTTGGGTTTTAAAATTTCGAGATTGAATAAATTTGATGGTGGTCATTCAAAAAAGGGGAATTGTCTAAAATTCACCATGAGTTTTCAGGATTTTTCTTAAACTCACTATAACATTTTGAAATGTTTAAAACTCTTAAACTCACGTTAAACAAACTAACGAGTGTTAATATATTACCAATTTACCTTTCATAGAAAAATAATATATATATATATTAATATTTTAACTAAAAAGACATGAAAAAAAGGAAAAAATTCAAAAATATTTTCAAATATAAAATACATAAAAAACACATAAATTATAAAAATATAAAAAATTATAGAAATTGCAAACAAAATAAAAAATTATTTTTAAATTATAGAAACTATAGAAATTGAAAACCAAAATCAGAAAATAAAAATTGTAGAAAAAACACTAAAAATTATAGAAAAACACAAAAATTGAAAATAAATAACAAAAAATACAGGAAAATTTATAGATTGTAGAAAATAGAAAAATGTAAAAAAAACAAAAAATATACAAACATTGGAAATTATAACAAACAAAAAATGCAAAAATAAAAAAAAGAAAATTGAAAACTAAAAAAGATAAAAAAACTCAAAAAATATGAAGATTGGATAAAAACGGAAATTGCAAATATACATAAAACGATAAAAAATAAAAAAATATATATTATAGGAAAAGGTAAAAAATCGTAGAAACACAATTTTTTTTTTCAAAAATTGCAAACTAATAAAATGATACAAATTTTCAGAAAATCAAACAAAAATTAGCCATTGCATCCTAACATTATTGCAACAAAATTTCAAAAAATATTTTAGGCAATCTGATAAAAATTTACAAAAATATCTTTTTGCATAAATTTGTAGAGCCCTCGATGAATTTACATTCCAGATTCAAAAGAATACATTTCAAATGTCTCAAAACATAAAAAATCTATGAGAGAGAGAGGGTGGTGCGGAGGTTATCTTAGGCAAGAGAGAAGGTGCTATGGTGGCGGTAAGATCTGACCAAGAGAGAGGGTGGTGCGACGGCTACCTTCAAGATCTGAGAGAGAGAGCACTTGTGGTCACAGAAGAGGAATACAGAGAGAGAGAGAGAGGAATACGACTGGCTGGGCCGGTTTTCAATGGATCTACATGTGATCCACTTGGGGAACGAGGCTGAAGAGAAGGTGGTCACAGAAGAGAGCACTTGTGGTGCCAAGGGTTTCGTTTGGAGAACGACAGTCTTCTTCCCCTAAAAGAAGGTTTCAACAACGACATAGGAGGATGACGGGCGAAAAAAGGAGTGCTGAAGAGAAGGGGGAAACTCAGGTGAATTGTGAAGTTGATCATATTCAACAAAAAAAGGGAGGACGGTGAAGGCTTAGTGGAAATCACTGATGGTGAGAGAAGTTTTGGAGAGGATTGGGGTGAAAAAAATGGCGGTAGTAGAAAAAGAGATCAGTAGAGAGACGACTGGGGTTTTACTGAGAAGGGTTGAAAGTTGAAGAAGAGGGGAAAAGCAGTAAAGAGGATGAGGTGATTGGGATGATAGGGGCAAAGGAAATGAGAGATGTGGAAGTGTCAGTGGGAAAGGGAGAAGGAGAAATGAATAAAGTTCTAATAGAGGAGAAAGGAGGGGAGGGAGATCTAGGGACCGACTGACCGAGGGAGGGGGAAGAGAGGAGGAAGTAAGACCAGAGATGGAGTTAGAACTTACAAAATGAAGTACGGAACTTTCCCCTTAGAAAGTTCTGTATTGTAAAGTACTTACTGGCGATGCTTTTGAGATTTTTCTGGTTGGTCTTCCGTTTCCTTTGTGGAAGGAGAGTTTCTTCGAAAGTATTGCTCAAGTGTTGGGGGGTGCTCTACTTGAGATTAACATTGAGAGTCTCAAGGTGGTGCCTATCAAAATAGCCAGAGTTCAACTGGAAAATGTTCAAAGATCTATTGACATTAGTGTTGGTGGGGTGTGGAGCAAGGTTTGGTTGGTGATAAAAGTTGAAGCATCATTCTGGAAAGAAGGGCGAGAGCTTGAAGATGATGAGGTGGCAAGGGGTGAACACGTGGCGAAAAAGAAGAGGTGAAAGGGAAGGTGTTAAAAAGACTATTTAATCTGGGTGAAAATAAGAGTTAAAGGGGTGGAGGCTGAGTTGGGCCTCAACTCAAGAGTCAGAAATCCTTCGTTGATGTTGTTAAGGTTGGGCTCATTTCCAAGCAAACAAGTGGGCCAGGCCATATTAACATGAAGAAAACGATTTCTATTGGTCCAGTTTTGTCAGATCCTAGGGGAGGCGTTTTGGGCCGAGAATTAGGCCCATTAAAAGATAATGAGAAGGCTGAGTCATCAGGGTCGCGTGATACTTAAAGTGATCACGAGAGGTGAATTCAATATTCGACAACGGACTGAAATAATCATCTAGCATCGTCCCAACTCTAGGTTGACCAGCGTTTGAAGATGCGAGCTCACATCGTCTGTCCCCAGGGGACAGAATGCGAGCTCACGAGTCCAGACCTATACGGTTTATGGGGGGGCGGGGGCTGTAATTCAGAATTCTGCAGCTACTACAGAGTACTTCCGTACCTCTCATAATTCTCTTCCCGCCTAATTCTCTTCCCTTTCGTACCTCCCACAACTCCTCTTTTCTTCTACCCTCCTCACTGCCACTACAGCCAGTTGCCGCCTAATTCTCTTTCTCCTGCTCTCCTTTCACCAATCATTCCTCCTCCTCTTCTCTCTCTCTCTCTCTCTCTCTCTCTCTCTTTTCTTTCTTCTTCATCGAGTATTAGGGTTTTCTTTCTTTGAGATCCAGCAGCAACCAGTTGGCCGGTTAGGGTGTTCTCCTCCTCTATTTTTTTTTTTTCTGATAGGATACTCTCTCCTGCCAGAGCTCGAGGACCCTTGGAGTTCAAATCCATGTGTCCTGTTGCAAACCCTAACTCTAGTTCATCCCTCTGCCCTTTCTACTTAGGGAACAAGCACCCTTGTGTGCCGGAGATCTTCACTGAAACTCCGATTCATTCTTACTTTTTGTGGGGTCTCTCGCCTAGTGGGGTTGGTGACGTCCTTGTAGCTTATTCTGGATTTCATTTTATTAGCTATGACTTGATGTATTACATCTATGCACCTATCTATCTAGATGAAAAGAAGGTAACTACTAAACCCCTTCGCATGTTTTCATTCGTGTGGGCATGGGACATCTGTTTAGTGAAAGTTTCATCTTCAGAATTCCCTGTAACAGTGAATGTTTCATAAACAAATATTAAAACGGCCTTCTAGGAGAGTACAATAAATACTAAAAATTGATTCATATCTTATATGGAAAAAACAGTGTTTGTGGTGGTTATTTGGAGTTTATTGTTTATTAGACTCCATAAATCTGGTTATTCTGGTTCACGGCTTAGGGCTCTTGACCATAAATCTGAACTCTGAAGTAGGGTTGCTCTACTGATAATCTTAAGTCTGCTTTTGGCGATGAGGAGGGAAGAAGAAAAGAAGAGTTCATGAGAGATATGAAAGGGAAGACACTTGAGCGGGTTAATAAAATTTTGAGTTTTTTAGAATCCAGACTGCCGTTAACTCTGGATGCCGTTAAATTTGAGTTTCAAAAATAAAAGGTGGCGTGGCAACATTTCATTGGTGGGTACTGTAGGGGGCATCTTAGTAGTTTTGGTGTTCACATCTGTGCCCCACAAGGGGGTGCCCCACAATGTCCCACAGCACATCTCCGCCGTGTATTGGGAACATCTCCCAGTGATAGTACCAGACCCAATGATCATCGGGAGATGATCATGTCCCCAATACATGTGCTGTGGGACATTGTGGGGTGCCCCCTCGTGGGGTGCAGATCTGAACTCATAGTTTTGAATACAGAATTAATTCAGGTCTCTGGCCATTTTGTGGGGAAGTTCTCGGTGACAATTGAGGCCACCATGGAAGATAGTTTTAAATCCATCATTACAGGTGTGTATGGACCAAACAATGAAGCCAATAGGAAGCTATGCTGGGAATTGGGTGATAATAAGGATTAAGGAATATATGGCAGAGTCCATGGTGTATAAGGGGAGACTTCAACACTTGTGTCTATGTAGAAGAATGGGGGATTAAGAAGGTTGGCAAGGATGAATGGCTTTTTAGACATGGCGAACAGGCATGAATTGATTGACCCTACTACTTTTTGGAGCCAAATACACCTGGACGAATAACCGGGAGGATCCGATACTTGTAAAACTCGACAGATTTCTGGTTACAGCTAAGTGGGTGAACACTTCCCAGGATTGTTTTAGGAAGTGTCACCCAGACCACTATAAAATCACAAACCCATCATACTACATGGGGAAAAGTGGAACTCAACACATGGCCCATTTAGATATGAGCATATGTGGTTGCAGGAGCCGGGCTTCTTGGAAAAACTGAAGCAATGGTGGAATTCCATACAGATGGAAGGTTCAACTTTCCACAAATTAGCCAAGAAACTTCAAGGGCTGAAAAAATAGATAAAACTTAGAAGCATGGAAAGGGAATGTTTTGAAAGCAGCAGAAAAATCAAAATCTAATGCTCTAAAGGTGATTGAGGAGGTTGATAGCAAAGAAGAAATGCACCCTATTCAAGAGGAGAGGAGATGGAGAAAAGAAGCCAGAAGAGTGTATGACAGAATAGCATATCAAGAAGCAATAAAATGGACTGCATCCTACAAAATGAGCCTTATCCGTGTAGTAGCACCTTTTAAGCACTAATTTATTCAAGCCATTTTCATAAAATGTTCATATGATTATGTGCAAAATTTCTTGGTGATACACTGATTTTTTAAGATAACTAGAAAGTCTTTTAGACTTTGGAAGCTTCTACTTTCATTTGATTAGAGCACTTTCAGCTTGTGTTAGTGTAATTGTGTTGCTATCTTGCTTATGAAAAATGAAAAAATGAAACTGAAAAATGTTTCTGTATGTCTATTTTGTTATGAAATTCTTTATACATATTTGCAGGGGAAACATCAAGCAAAGGGATCTATTATTTGATGTTATCAGGAGTGAGCGTTCTATGACAGAAACTGCTACGAACAGAGACCCCAGTGCATGCATATCCAAAGTATGTGATGTGGATGACATAAATACATATACTGTAGTTGCAACTGGAGCATCAATAACTGCAGATTCTAGTGTTAGTCTTATCTATCGATATTGTGAAAAACTTCCTGGAGACAAGTAAGCATGTCTTTCCCTTTTCAAAATTCCAATAATAGTAAATTCTTCAATTTTTTTCTTCATTTTGAATTTTAACTATTTTATCCTGTATTTTTAGATCTAATTGGTAAAAAAATTTACTAGGTACTTCACTCCAAAGCCAACTTTTCAGTTGTCATTATGTGGGGAGTCTTACACATGTACATTAGTATTACCTCCCAATGCAGCATTTCAAACAATAACAGGTCCTGTAAATAGAAACGTGCACTTATCAAAACAGCTTGTATGCTTGGAGGCTTGTAAGAAATTGCATCAAATGGGAGCTCTTGATGATCATCTTCTGCCTTATGTTGAAGAGCCACCAGAAATTGGTTTTAGTGAAAAAACTAATGAATCTTCAGGTGCAGGTAGGTATACTTTTGCATCATGAAATTGGTGTTTTTTGAGAATTATGGCATATTTAGAGTTATTGAGCACACTAGTTGTAGGTATCTTCTTTTTCTTATGATAGTTATAGTATTTATAATAGAAAAAAGAGAAGGAAATAGCTTCATGGGTCCTATTTTGCTTTCCATTCTGTTCAATGCCACATCCATTGTTAAATTATTATTTTGGTAGCAAATAAAAAATAAAATTTATTAAAATAGGAGGTAAAACTGAGGGTGGTGAGAGATCACCAGAATTACAAAACAGTACAGACTTAAGAGAACCAAAGAAGAGAAAGAAAGAAACAAAAGCCAAGAGAAAGACAGCGCTTCTAAGACAGCTCAAGAATGTTCCAAAAATTGGCACCAAGAGTTTCTTTTGAGACCCCCTCAAACTCTGGAAGAATAAGAACTCAGCCCATGATCCTTTTACCACAGGAAAGAGGGATATGTTTCCTTAATCGAGCTACATCTTTGAATATTCTCCTATTTCTTTCTTTCCAACTTTCCCAACACACAGCAAAAGGAACGCAGCTCCAGGCTACCTTTGCCTTGATATTTCCCTTCACACCATCCCCCAGTCACCACCCTCTGGTGAACATGACATGCACCCAAACCCATATCCAGCCTGCTTTTTGATATTTGGCTATCTTCTATTACATAGATTTTGAACATGTATGTCTTTGTTTATGCTTTCTTTCTTCCTTTCATGTATCAAAGTTTACCTTTTTTTTCAAAGGGACAACAAAAAGGAAGGAATTACATGGGACTACCCATATCCGTGCTTTATCTGGTGGTTGGGGAGACAAAATGGATGGTGTCACTTTGCAGGCATATAAAATAGACTTCTCTTGTAATCTTGCTTGGGTGTTCTATTCTGGATTTGTCCTCTTAATTGATGCAAACCTAGATGATGATGTGGCAAATGCTGAAGTGGAACTTTACCTGACTGATAAGTTGGTCAAATCATCTATTTCTCCATCAGGGCAAATGCACTTGGATGCAGACCAGGTGAAGAAACTCCTACGCTCCTATGCTTGTTTAATTTTACGAGTACTTCTCATTAACTTGATACACTGTGTTATTGTTGAATTTTTTTCTTTGTTGCATCAGGTGAGAAGATCAAAATGTTTCCAGGAATTTTTCTTTAATGGGTTATTTGGGAAATTGTTCACTGGATCCAAATCTTCTGGGACACAAAGAGAGTTTTTACTCAAGAAAGAAAATAAATCATTGTGGAACACATTGAATATGTATTTGCTTTTACCACTTGATTCATCTGGAATTCCTAACGATGAATCTCTGAGAATCAACTGGAGAGGCGTTGATTCCTGTGTTTCCATTGTTGAATTTTTGAAGGAGAACTCTTTGCTTAGTGCTGATTCTTGTTTAGTCAGTAAGGGAAATTCTTGTAGCACCAATTCATTTGAGACTGAATACAAGGTTTCAGAAGTTATCCACTTGGCTAATAGTAATGTTAATTTATACAACCTTAAAGATATGGTGGTGTTGGCTATTCACACGGGAAGAATTTATTCTGTTATTAAAGTGATGATTGATATGTCAGCTGACAGTTGTTTTGATAGTTCCAATGCGATGCCACCAAAATATGCTACCTTTAGAGAATACTTCAATAAGAAGTGGGTGATTTGTAACACTGATCTTTCTATTTTGTTGCATTTTAACAATTACATGCCTTTTATCAATTATTGCCATCTTATTAGCATTATACCTGCCCAGGTATGGAATTGAGCTCATGCATCCACAACAGCCTTTGTTGCTGTTAAAACAGAGCCATAACCCTCATAACCTTCTTGCAAAATCAAGTCAAGGTATGTTAATTCGCCTCCTTTTTGAGGTTCAGTTTTGCAAATGAATTTCAATTGTGGTGCAAATACTCAATTGAAGGTACTAAATCATGATTTCCTTATGAACTAGTAGTGTGAAGGACAAAATAACAATGCCTCCATATATTCAAGGTTGTCATGATTATGGCTAAATCCATAAATAATGACTCCATATGTATGTATGTATGTTCCTTTTTTCTATAGATTCTTTTATCATCAGTGAGGACCTTGCTGATTCCATTTCTTAGGTAAAGGGAAGTTGTCTGTACACTTCTAACTTCATAGAACATATTATGTCATGGATAATGTGAATATTTTGTTTAGTCACTCAATTATAACATATTGGGCTAGAAATTTCCAGGCCTGCCTGTGCTTTTTTATTCAGGCCCAACCCAACCCATAATGTATACATGTTTATACATATACTTTGTGTTATATATGCGTTTCTTTTTTTTTTTTTTTTCTTTACATTTTTCTCACTTATTCACTTAGGCTCTTATTATACAGATATTCAATGATGCTTAGCTTACTGGTGTCAGACACGGTACAATACACGCTCCTGATATGACACCAGAAACTTCATGGACACTTCTAGAATATGCTTTATAGCATTAACTATTTTGAAAATGAAAAGTGGTATATTTTAACAATCATACTACAAAACTGTGTAAACATTACAAGCTTAATTAAATTTTGACTAGATATGAGTATTGAGAATGACACTTAACTTCAAAAACTAGATATAAAAGCATGATGCAAGCATATTACATGGGATACTAATGTGGGATGGGTTGGTCCTAGTAATTTAGGATCTAGTGGTTGGCTTTGTGGGGTGAATGAAGGGCTGTGGGTGATTAGAGATAAAGAATGAAGGAAAAGCAACTCGAGTTCTTGTTGTGCACCAAAAAATGAGTAAGAAATTAGAACAGAGAGGTGAACTCTTGATGTTAGATTAAGCAGCAAGGAGACAGATCACTTAGAAGAAGAAATAAGGGGGAGAGAGAGAGAAAAATGAGAAAAAACTTCTGGCAACGACCAGAATCACTAAACCAAATTTTATTTCATCAAATCATTTTTCTTTAACTCCAAATACAATGACTCTATTTATAGACTCAACTTACTAACTCAGGTGTCCCCTTTCAGGCTCCAATTTGGACTAGAAAATTGACCCAACACAACTCCTAATTGCTTTAGAACTAAGACAAATCCATAATTAACCCATTAGGACACTTAAATAAGGATCCCACTAAAACTACTTTAATTTAAGACATCAGAAATTACTAAAAATAATAATTATGAGAATTACTATAAATAGTAAACTGAGAGTTACCAAGACACCAACAACTGGAAAATAAATAAATAAACTGAAATAATACCAATACCCTATAACCCATAAATTCTGAAATTGGTATAGGAATTGGGATATTGGTTTGTTTTTTTTTGATGAATAGGGATATTGGTTTGTTTCCCTATAAATTCTTTCCTTGTGTCTGCCTCTGTATCAGGGATTGTCTCCCAGGACAAGAGAATATAGAATGTAAGCAGAAGTTTGGCATTTCTTTATTGTATCCAAATTCATTAATTACAAATCAATAAAATCGCAGATTTTTTACTGATTAAAAAAAGAAAAATTGTCAAAGCTAGCCCAAAAAAGGGGTTCTTTGGCCATTTTTATTGCATTTTCTAATCTAAATTAGTTGTTGTTATATGCTGATGGTCTTTGGCTTGTGGCTCTACTTTAGCATGGCCATTTCTGAAAAAGTTGGCGCCACTTCTTTTGGAAAGGCAAATAGGTGGTTCTAAACCAGATAAACAGGAACAAGTGCTCTAGAAACATTTGTTTCTCTTTGTTTAAACATAAACCTAGAAATCATGTTCTGGAAATGGTTGTTTAACTTTCCAAACCACATGATGAAAATTGATTCTCTGCATGAAATGTGATGCACAAAAAGTATTTAGATTCCAATTGAATGGGCCCAATTAATTATGATGTTGGTGTTATGGTGTATTATCAATTTAGTTAGTGAGTTTCACACAGAATTAGAGGGGAATTTTTCTATAACCCTGAATTCTCATAAACCAGCACACTATAGAAAGTAGAGGAATTAATCAGACGAATCAATAGAAATTGGCTTCACGGATCCTGACTCAGAAGTTGGACTATTTCCACGAACACTCTTCTCTTTCAGATTTTATTTAATTTTCTTCTAGGATTTAAGTAAAGCTTGCTGCAATCCATCAACACCAAATTTCTAGTTCCAGATCCACTGCCTTTTTGGTCCTAGAGCCACAAACAAGCATACCAAATGCAAAAAAAAAAAAAAACCTTATCCTGAACATCATTTAAATGGTTCAGTACACTGGTCAGAATTTGAGTGATTTAATGAATGTTTGACAACTAATGCTTAATGCTTTCTTATTTTTAGCAGGTGGCTCCTTATGTAGGAAGACATCGGATGCTGGAACTGCTTTGATTGTTGACAAGCTGCAAAATCATGTACACATGCCTCCAGAGCTCCTTATTTGTATTGATATATCTATAAGTGTCTTAAAATCATTTTATCTTCTACCTTCTCTGATGCACCGATTAGAGGCATTAATGTTAACTAGTCAGCTGAGAGACGAAATTTCTTATCATCCAAGCAATGGCTGTATATCAAGCTCTCTGGTTCGTCATTTGTTGACTTGCTTTCCTTAATTGTTCTTGTATCATTTTAATATATTTATTGCTCTTATGAATATCCTTTTATGTTTAGATTCTAGAAGCACTCACAACACTTAGATGTTGTGAGAAGTTTTCTCTTGAGCGCTTGGAGTTGTTGGGTGACTCAGTATTAAAATATGCTGTGAGCTGCAATCTCTTTCTAAAATACCCAAAGGAACATGAAGGGCAATTATCTGCCCGTAGATCCCGTGCTGTTTGTAATTCAACATTACATAAACTGGGAACCAATAAGAAAGTACAGGTAAGTGGTAGTTTCTGTCAATTTTTAGGCATAGTATATGGTTACTTTGTTTCCATATCTGGTTTTTATTTCTGTGGTATGGCATTCTAGTTTGTGGTTAGTACCACATTGGTATTGCTTAACTAGTTTTTACTTTCTATCATTGATGTTATCTATTTGGAACGGGATCTTGACATGGTGAGCCATGTGCTATTTTGGATTTGGAGGGGATCCAAACCCAGATCTGACCCATTTTATGCCCTACTTAGCCCTTTAAAGACCAATCCTCACTCAAGGAGCAATGATATTCTAGCTATGTCATTTTTGTAATTGCAAACTAACAATGAGATCATAAGTGAATATCAACCTTTTTCAGTATAAACATATTTCATGTACATAAATTCACTGATATGAAAAGTATGTAACATTTTAACTTCTGAAAAATCCACACACACTTTTAATTTTGGTCATACCCTAGCAGCAATGTTTTTTTGTTTTTTCCTGTTTGGCATCCTCTATATTGTCAAATACTTTTGTGTCCCTCTCCACTTCTTCTGGTCATGTAAGATGTGATTCAGACCAATAAAATTAGCAGAAATATTTAGGTTAGAGCAGAAAGAAGGAAGGAAGAAGAGGAAGACAGCAAGAAGAAGAAAGGAGAAAGAAAGGAGGAGTTCGATAATCTCCTCTTTCCCCTATTCTAATCTTTTTATTAAACTTACTTAAGTTACATAATTTACAAGGAGGCCCTTAAGTAGGCGTCCACATCAACAATATACTTAAAACTTAAAAAACAAAAATCAGAAGCTAAAGGTCCATAAAGAAAGAGGGCCCAATAAGAAAACATAACAAGAAGGAACTAATAAGAATGACACTAAAGGACTAGGGCCCATTCGGCCCAGTCTCTCTACAATGTGGGTATTTTATTTAATGTAAAAAACACATAATTTCCATCTTTTCCTGAAACTCCTACATCGGGATTTTTAAGGCAAGCTTTGAAGTTATTTTCTAGGCAACTTCAGCACTAGTGCACATATTCAAAACATTATATTAATAGCAAGAGTTGTAGGGATGTTGCTGTTGCTGATAAAAAAACAAAAAAGAGTTATAGGGATGTTATATTGGTATCCTGAATCAAATAAAAATTATTCCACAAATTTGAGGTTCTCTGATGTCCTTCACCTGTGGAAATAGTAACTAGCATGAAGAACCATATCATCCATTGTTTGTCTTTTCTCTTTGTTTTTGGGGTTGTTTTCTATTATGTATCATCAAACCTATGATCCCTTTGTCACACATTGTCCTTCAGAATGATGCAAGTAGTTCTTCTGATGCAATTCTCCAATATTATAAGACTTTTTTTTTTGTATTCCATAAAATATAAGTGGCTTCTGAATTTCATATGTACCTTATAGGGCTATATAAGAGACAGTGCATTTGATCCTTGTCGATGGGCTGCTCCAGGGCAGCATTCTCTAAGGAATGTTCCTTGTTTGTGTGGCCTGGATACTCACGAAGTGCCTCTTGAAAGAAAGTTTCAAACTGAAGAGACTTCTGTTGCAGTTGGAAGGGTCTGTGATAGAGGTCATAGGTGGATGTGCTCCAAGACTATTTCAGATTGTGTTGAAGCACTAATAGGAGCTTATTTCATTGGTGGTGGATTAACTGCTGCACTTTCATTAATGAAATGGTTGGGTATGGATGTTGAATTTGATCCTATATTAATTGATGACGTCATTAGAAATTCAAGTCTGTGGTCTTCAATGCCAAAAGTTAATGAACTTGAAACACTGGAAACGAAGCTATGTTATAGCTTTTCTGCCAAGGGTCTTTTGTTGGAGGCTGTAACACATCCATCAGTGGAGGAACCGGGGGTTGGCTATTGTTATCAGGTACTGAAATTAAAACCAATTGGAAAATGGTGATTCTTTGGAGAATAGTGTTTTTTTTATTGGATCTTAATTTTGAGTATGTATACAAAATTGATATTTCTTATAATAAAAGAAAATTTATTAAATTAAAAAACAAGGGGAAGACAAAGCCAGGTGGAAAGAAGATGCCTAAGAAGGCAAAAGGAAAGGATAAAAATAGACCCCATCCATTACCCCTTCATACAACCAGAGGAGGGGAAAACTAAAAAATGTCCAGCCAAGAGATTCCCATATTAACACCCCAAGTGCTAGTCCAACCAACTTGAGATCCAACAAAACAGTAGTTCTACAGTCTTCTTGTTGCACGAACTCAAGCTTCCTACACAACCCTTCACAAGACGCCAATGCCACAGAAACTCTTCTTAAACTAATGGACAACCTTCAGCCCTACCTTAACACTTCTAGAATTACCTCTGAGGCTTGGGTGCTTCTACATCCCCTACACCTGTGTTGGCTTCTATCTTCTTCTTACCTCTTCCCCTCTCTATCTCTGACATCTTCCAGTTCGTCTCATCTCCATCACTTTCCATCCTAGTGACCTTTAATCTTATCTCTACCATTGCTTAACCCTCTGATTTTGTGATGGAAGTTTTTCTTTGTTGGTTTGGTTTCCTGTAGGAATAACTTGTGCAAAATCTCCTGAAACTTTGGTCAAACAGGATTCATGTAGTTAATCCTATATAGTTTGGAACTTGGGATAACTTGGATGATTATGATGATGATGATGGGTAGTTTAAGAGATGCAATAGTTTCAGAGTACCCCCTTTTGGAAACCCTATCAGCCCTGGAGAAAGAAGAAAACTTACAGCCGCTCTCTCCAGGAGTGTCTAAAGTCCCACGAGATGTGATCAATTTGAGTAGAGAGTACAATACTACTTCGACCAATGTCCTTTTTGATGTGGACGCGTATTGGGAGCAGCAGCAGCAATGATCCGGTGTTCTCATCCTATCCAATTCGGCAGCAACAGTCTTATCCATTCAGCATTTTAGATTAGATTATCTTGTTATTCTTATCTTATCTTATTAAGTTAGTAGATTAGATTATCTTATCTTATTAGATTAGGATTAAGAGAGACTTATCTTATCTTATCAGTCTTATCTTATCAAGATAGAGYTGGAGGTCTCCCTATTCAGCAAGGAGTCTCCCTAAGAGCAGGACTCTTGTAATCTCCTATTTAAGGAGCCACTATTATTGAATAAAGGCATCCAAAATTTCAGTCAAAGAGAAGAGTAAAGGAGAGTTAGGGTGATCTCTTGGACAAATTACCCCTTGGGTCGCCACGATAGGGTCAGCACGCAAAGGGAGGGGCAAGGAGAAACTAGAGGTTCTCCCCGTGGATCGACCCGTGACGAGATCCTATTCCCGGGCCCATAACACTTTTTTTGATTAACAACAGATATTTCATTAAATGATTAAGAAAAATAATACATAGAAAGGGAGCTAAAATATCTTAACTCCCCACAACTGTCACCCAAAATACAACAACAATTACAATTGAGCCCAAAAAATAGAATTCCTATTCACCCCTTGTCTAGATAATCCATCTGCAAAAGAGTTAGCACTTCTCTTTATCCATGTGCATCAAACTTCCATGTCCTTGGTCAACCATTTGTATTTCTTCGTTTCATTTCTGTAACTCCAGAATCTTGAGTTCTCTTCTTTTAGCCAGTTCACTACAGTCTCAGAGTCTCCTTCTATAATCAGCTTGTTTAAGTGCAATTCTTTAGCCCTTTGGATCCCTTCCAGAGCTGCTAAAATCTCAGCCCTTAATGAGTCTCCTGTTCTGATTGGGCCAGAAAACATGGACATCACATTCCCTTTGTCATCCGTCAAGACTCCCCCTATTCCACAGGGCCTTGGGTTGCCCATGCTGCTGCCATCAAAATTGAGTTTGGTAAATCCAAGAGGTGTGGGGGGGTCCAGTAAGAGCTTGAAACCTTCCTGATTAAGAATGAATCTGCAATTTCCTTCCAGTTTCCAATCAGACCATTAACTGAAAATGCTGCAAACAAATCCAAGGTTTTCAGCCAATGAATTACTCTTATGTGAATCACTTCTATTACTGCTTCCACAGTTCTCTCCTTTCCTAAGAAGATCCTTAAGTTTCTTTCTTCCCAGATAGACCAGCACACTACAGGCCTAACACATCTCCACATAATCTTTGCCCTTTTTGTTGGCCAGTTAGAAGGAAAGGAAGCAAACAATCTTTGCCCTAATATCTCTTCTCAGTCCCAAGTTCCAACCAAATCCAGAGGTCGAGTTAGAAGGTACAAGAAAGGTAGAAACCAATTCATTCTTAAAGGTAGACATGGCAAAGAGAGTCAGGAATTGGTCTTTTAAGGGATAATCCCCAACTCAAACATGTTCCCAAAATTTGATAAGTATTCGGAATTCAAGTCATACCTGATCTAGGGAGAAAGCAGAGGCAAAATAGCTTGGATTTCTTTCCATGGAGATGCCCTTGTAGTCCTTGCCAAAATGGCCAGCATCCCATCTATTCTCTACAAGCCCATGAATACTACCCACTATCTTAACCCACAACTTTTTCTTTTTCTAGTGAGAATCTCCACAACCATTTCCTCAATAATGCCAAATTCCTCTTTCTTATGTTCCCAATATTGAGGCCATCGTCCTACACACCACCTCCCACCCAACCCTATGGTCTTTTTTCTCTTCCCCTGGTTCCCACAAGAAATCTCCCATTAATTTTTCTAGCTTACTAGCCACCCCTTCTGGGATCTTGAAGATTGACAAAAAGTAAACAAGCAAGTTAGCTAAGGCAGGCCTAATTAGGGTGATTCTCCCTCCTAGAGAAAGGTAATTTTTCTTCCACGTGGCAAGTTTTCTCAAAATTAATTTTAAGATTTCACATTTGCTCAAACAGTTGTATTATGAGTTTCAAGTTCCTAATCCAATTGAGATCCCCACCTTCACAAAAAAGAACCATATCGTCTGGAAACTACAAGTGAGTAAGTGGTACATTCCAGCGTTTTAAAAGGCGTATACCTCATGCGCTTTTTTCATGAGGTGTGCTAGAGGCGTACGCCTCATGCACCTCATGCACATCTTATATAAAAAGATAGAAAAAAAAGAAAAAAGAAAAAAAAAGGGAAAGAAAAAGAAAGACAAGAAAAAAAGAGAAAAGGAAAGAAAAGGAAAGGGAAGGGAAGAAAAGTTAAGGGGAAAAAAAGTGGTTTGCCCCCTACCCCTTCGACAAGACCCTCCTTTTCAACTAATGTTATGCATCTTTATTCTTCTTAATATAAAAGATTTTTATTAAAAATAAAGAAAAATGAGATCCCCCCTTCCTCTTCATCCTCCTCCCTTCCTCCTAACCCCCCTCCTCTTGAGGAGGCGTACGCCTCCTTGTGTTCGGGAGGCTTACGCCTCTTGCGTTCTAAACTACGCCGCACGCCTCTAGGTAGTGGAACACCTTGCGTCACGCCTCCATGTTTTAAAACATTGGTGCATTCTCCCTCCCAACTCTCCACCCCCTGATTAAGTTCCTGGAATCTGCTCTAGAGATTAGTCTCCCCAACACTTCTGCAACCAAGGTAAACAAAAGAGGAGAGTGGGGGTCTCCTTGTCTGATTCCTCTCAAAGTCGGAAAGAAGTCCACCACTGCCCCTCACCAAATAGAATAATGACAAGTCTGGATACAACCCATCACCCATCTGCACCATCCATCTCCAAACCCAAAATTAGTCATTACTGGGGGTGAGCACTATTCGGTTAAAACCGAAAAACTGAACCAAAAATTTTGGTTACGACTTTCTTTTGTTCAATTTTTGGTTAAACCGGTTTGGTTAATTCGGTTTTTAGTTTTTGTTTTTAGAATTAGAAACTTGTTTCATCGAATTAACCGAATTTTCTATTATTATATATAATATATTATATTTATATATAATATATAAATATAATATATTATATTTATATATTAATATATAATAAAATGAAATTTGATTTCATAATATATATTTTATAATATATAATATATATACTATATGTTATAATGTATATATATAATAGAGTATATATTATTAAAATTCAGTTTTAACTAAAAACGAACCAAAAATTTCAGTTTTGGTTATTTTGGTTTTTCTATAATTCGAATTCAAATTCGGTTCGATTTTTATTTTTTAGTTCGGTTTTTAAAATTTTGGTTTATTCGATTTTTAACCAAATTAACTGAATGCTCACCCCTTTCCATTACCTCCAACAGGAAGGACCAGTCCACCAAATCATAAGCCTTCTTTTTTTTTTTGATCAATAACAAAAACTTTATTAAGAATTATGAAGCTTTAGGTACAATAAGGGGGAGATAAAGAGTCTCATCTCCCCATCAGTAAATTACAATGAAAGAAGATTAAAAATTAGCCCAAAAAATAGCCTCCCTATTCACCCCTTGCTTGGCCAACCCATATGCAAAAGAATTAGCAATCCTTTTCACCCAGCTTTATTGTATCTCAATGCCCCTACAAAGCCATAAGAATTTTTTCTTTTCATTATTGTAACTCCACAAGCCATTGTCCTCTTTCTTCATCAGCTAATCACCACCTTTGAATCACCTTCCAAAATCAGCCGACTGATATTTAGATCCCTTGCTCCTTGAACCCCTTCCAAAGTTTCAAGGATCTCAGCCCTAATAGAGTCTCCTTCTCCAATAGGGCCTGAGAACAGAGCAATAACAATCCCTTCCTCATTCCTGAAAACTCCCCCAATCCCAGAGGGCCCTGGATTCCTTATGCTACTACCATCAAAATTCACTTTTATAAATCTGGAGGGAGGAGGGGACCACAAGGGACTAAGAGTCCTCTTA